GTCAATATTAATTTTATTACAGGAAGATTAAAATAGTAAATAGCACACTATAATTTGAACTATTAAGAATTAACTTACCAAGAGTAGTTTAAACAGGGCTTGCCATCTTCTTATCATTTAACTTACAACACTACGCAAGCATCTTTTCTTTACTTTGGCAATTGTCATAATCCTTTCTAAGTTTGGATCAGCTTCCAACATTTTATTTTTTATGCTATCAAGGTCATCAGTAATCTGTTACAGTTCCTTTAATTAATGGGAAGTTTTCTGCCAGCATCAACTTTATCTGAGATACCTCTGTCCTTTCTCTCAAAACCCCTTTCCCTCACTTACGCCAATAAGCTCACCTTTACTAAGACCATCCAGCTAGAAATTCTTTTCAAAAAGTAATGTCAGCATTTCTTCAGCTATTTCTGTATAACTCCATTAACATTCTAGCTGAACTTCATTTCCAGTATAATCACTTTTCATTTTTTTGTTGCAGTTTGATTTTTACTGACCAAGTCTCTCTTTCAATTATCCATTTTTAAAATATTACATGGGTTTTTCATTGGGAAACAAAGAGACAACATAAGTACATTCTTTTCTGTCTGAGCATGAACTAAGTAACAGATGAACAGTAACCAATCAATGACAGATTTTGAACATGAAATGATTGGTCAATGATCATGATCATATTTGTAATTTACACAGCAATTTGTGGGCTGAAGAACTAGCAGTGAAGTTTGTACACTACACAATTACTGAGTTACAATACTATGGTAACTAAAATTTGAACTGTGCTGTTAGGGGACAACTAAATTATGGTAATTGACATTCCTGAAATTTCTGTGCATGCCAAGTAAGAACTGCCTGTCCCTAAATGCAATCATCCATAAAGTGTAACATTTATAAACACAAAATTTACAATAAGATCCTCAAAATTCCCCCAACATTGACAAATGACATACACCTGAAAAAAAGGATCAGATCATTCACAGGTGTTCTACAGATACAATTAGTCACTGCTTTCATGTATTTCATTTTCATATCACCTCATTTTTTAACAGAATCTATTAATACCTGCAACCATGTTTCATAAATGGGATTTGGACTTTAACATAACAAGAAAAAAAAAAGACAATTTCAAGCTCACATCTGTGTCACTGCCTGGTTTCAGTTGTATTGTACCCTTATTACAGCAGAGTTTATTTGTACAATTATGCAAACACTTTACACTTTCCCTGAAAATAAGGAAAATCAGCAACGGTGGTGACAAAAAGCATAGTAATAATAAGAAGAATAGTTTCTTGAATTTAATTTCATGGAAACAAAAGCAAAACTCCTTAACATTAGCTAGTTACCAGAATTAGGCCAGGTTTTTTCTTCCCCCCATGAATGTGAAAATACATAGAATGCGACACAAATTGCAAAACTATTTTGTTTAAAATGATATGAACAATTAGAAACTGCACTGCATTTTTAGCTCTCTAGCAGTGGGGCACCTTTAATAACAGAAATCTGGTAAATGCTCTTAAGTTTAACAACATTTATTAAAGTACTAGGCTATTAAATGAAAGACAGTGTTTTTATTGGTACTTAGGGAATTCTGAAAAACAGAAGACAGCATGCTCACAACTTTTAGGTCAAAAAACCCTCAAATATTTCTCTGTCTATGAAGTCAAAATAGGGTTGTATATTATCTTATTTTGTTTTCAAAATAATAATTCCCCCTATCCCATGGAAGAAATAACCTGTATTAGCAATAGAAAAGTTAAAATAGAAAATAAATGAAGTTTAAACCAAGTTTCCTGATTTTTGATATTTCAGTACTCCGTAACTCTTTAAATAGGATAATCTATTTTTTTTTCATGGTAGGTAAGCACTCTACCACTTGAGCTAGGTCCCCAGCCCTCTAAATTAACACTAAAGAACAAATGAGATATTATTTCCATATTATTTAAGACACAGTTAATTTAATATAATCACTATCTATCCATTTTCCAAAAATCTAATATTTTACCTACCCCAACAATCCGTTTCATAGCATCCAATTTAGCAGAATCTTTGTTGCTCTCCAACATTTGTTTTAGATCTTCATTCCTATACCAAAAGAGAAGAAAACAAATTTCGTATTTGTAACATTCCATAAGACAGCTATAAAAATGTATCATTTCATAAGAATTAGAAATACTATGACAGGCAATGTTAAGTAACTGCATTCATATTTATTATTAAATATGTATTTCTTGTTTAGCCCTACAAATGTCCATGTGCTGCTATGTTGACATAAAGCCCACCAACGAAACAAAAATATAAAACTGTCCTACAGTTTTACATTTAACATTGAAATATCAATGCAAACATGACAGATTTTCTTATCCCAAGTTTTCTTAACATAATCATTAGAAAAAAAAAAAAAGAAACGAGAAAAATCCTTGAATCAGCACTAAAATATTTTCATTTGGTATCAAAAAACCTAAGAACGTTTCCTAGAATATGTCAAAGCCCTGTGTAAAAGAAAGCTATGTGTCAGGCACATTATCCCATTTTCTTCTCCACCTCCCAATAACAGAAGAACATAATACAGAGGAAACCCTCCCATACACTGATTCTCCTTTAATTCTGAGAATAAAAGCAATTTTAACATGTAAATGAGAAGACAAGGTAATGAACCAGGTCAGGACAGTTAGCAGTAAGGATGAAAACACTGGATAGGGCTGGGAACATGACTCAAGTGGTAGAATGCCTGCCTAGCAGGTCCTAAGTTCAAACCCCAGCACTATCAAAAAAAAAGGAGAAAAAACAAAATGTAGGATAGATACAAGAACGCCTCAAAAGTTGACACTCAGTAGGACACAATGACTGAACATCAAGGGCGAGATGGGGCACTGGTAACTATGACCCTATTCCCAGTTTGGATGACCCATGATGATACTGCCAAGTACAACACCCTTCACCCACAGGTGAAGGCTTTTTGCTAAATAAAACATCCTTAAAAGATAGTCTAAAACAAAAGCTTTCAATGCCTTTACCCAGAAGAGTTACAAAAATGAGAAAAAGTGGAGAATCACATCCCAAGAATTTTTCTATTCTTCTAAAGTGAATCTTCTCCTATAAATTCAAAAATCCACCTTGACTCCTCTAAAAAGAAAGAGTAATTTGAAATCTCTAGTCATTTTTCCTTAACATGGCAAAATATTTTTGAAACAGATATATAGCTAGGCAAAGAGTTTTTAGATTTGACACTAAAAATACAGTTGATAAAATGAAATCTTGATAAATCATACCTCATCAAATTTCAAATCTCTTGCTCTATGAAAGAGCCTATTAAGAAGAATTTTTTTTAGAAATTACAGATTGGCAGAAAATATATTTAACCATGTATGTGAGAAAGGACTGGTAACTAGTATATAAAGAGAAGTCCCAGGGCTAGAGGCACGGCTCAGGTGATAACAGGGCTTGCCTAGCAAACATAAGGCATTGAGTTCAGACCCCAGAACTGCAAAAAGAGAGAGAGAGAGATCCCTAAACTCAACACTAAAAAACAATTTGATTAGAAATGGGGCAAAATACATTGTCAGAGACTGAACTGCATTCCCCTTCTTCCAAAAATTCCTATGTTGACACCATAAACCCTAATGTGACTGTACATGGAAACAGAGCCTTTAAGCAGGTTATTAAGGTTAAATGAGGTCATAAACGTGGGACCCTAATCTGACTGATATCCTTATAGAACACAAAGATGCATATGACTAGAGGAAAGACCACATGGTGAGAACACAGTCATCTATAAACCAAAGACAGAGGTCGCAGCAGAAATCAAACCTGCCAACAACTTGATATTTGAATTCTATCCTCCAAAACTGTGAGAAGTAGGTTTCTGTTATTTGAGGCACTCTGTTTAAACCCCAGTTCTGCCAAAACAATAAAGCGGTTAAGTGAGGATATATGGATGAGCCCTTACCCAGTATGACTGGTGTCCTTATAAGAAGAGATTAGGACATAGATACACAGAGATACACAGCAAGAAGATAGCCAACTGCAAGCCAAAAGGATGCGGCCTCACAAGCCAACTTGCCGAGACCTTGATCTTCCTTGAGAACTGTGAGAGAATAAATTTCTACTGATTGACCATCCGGTCTGTGGCATTTTGTTAAGGCAGCTTTGGAAAACTAACATAGGGGCTAAATGTTACAAACTGTCATTGTAGCAAAAAAATAAATAAAAGCTAAGCAAATATTTTCTAAAAAAGAATAAAGGAAATGAAATCTATTATGAAAAAATTGGGAAAAATTTACTCTTATTTTGCAAACAACTCATAAATGCAATGATAACCACTTGTGGGAGACAAAAAATTACTATTTTTCCCTAATTAAAAATACAATCAGAAAAGATATAAATAGTAGAAACAATACATAAAGACTATCTCTGAAAATAAACAATTATTAAATACAAAAAGACTATAAATGTTTGCTGCAGTAAATTTAGAATCCCTTCTTAAAATTTCTTGGGCTCTTACATACAACACAGGTAACAGAAGATTACCTTTTCTTTTCTTCTAGTTTTTGCTATTTCACCATTTTACTTAATGACTACGTATACTTTTTAAGTGAAAAATCCTAAAACCTGAAAGAAACCTTAAAAACTTTATTAGATGTTAAGAAAGCAAAAAAAAAAAAAGCAAGTAATTAAATAGGAACTAAATAGAAAGGAAATACAATCACAAACATACATGCCAAAAAGAAGAAAATAATATTCTCCTATTGTTCTCCTTTTCCTTTACCCATGAATGTTCCTCCATTCTCCTCCACCAATGTTGTACAGAGAGAGAAGTGAGCAATGAAGAAAACTGAGACACCAATTTTTAGGACATCACTACCTCTAACCCCAGACATAATCTTATTCATGTCCTAATGGAAACTTGGTTTGTTCCTCTTAAGCCCAAGTTGCTAGAGTTCCCTACTCAACACCTTTATATCCTGACCTGCTCTCAAACTAAAAACAAGAAAACAAGAGGGGATGGGTGAAGCAGTCATGGAGGGTCAGCGCTGGCTGCCACTGGAGGCCAATCCTGAGGTCACCAACCAGTTTCTCAAACAATTAGGTCTGCATCCTAACTGGCAATTTGTTGATGTGTATGGGATGGATCCTGAGCTCCTTAGCATGGTTCCAAGACCTGTGTGTGCAGTGTTGCTTCTCTTCCCTATTACAGAAAAGTATGAAGTATTCAGAACAGAGGAGGAAGAAAAAATAAAATCCCAGGGACAGGATGTTACCTCATCAGTATATTTCATGAAGCAAACCATCAGCAATGCCTGCGGAACAACTGGACTGATCCACGCTATTGCAAACAACAAAGACAAAATGAACTTTGAATCTGGGTCAACCTTGAAAATACTCCTGGAGGAGTCTGTGTCAATGAATCCTGAAGAACGAGCCAGATACCTGGAGAACTATGATGCTATACAAGTTACTCACGAGACCAGTGCCCATGAAGGTCAAACAGAGGCACCAAGTATAGATGAAAAAGTAGATCTTCATTTTGTTGCATTAGTTCATGTAGATGGGCATCTCTATGAATTAGATGGACGGAAACCATTTCCAATTAACCATGGGAAAACTAGTGATGAAACTTTATTAGAGGACGCCATAGAAGTTTGCAAGAAGTTTATGGAATGTGACCCTGATGAGCTAAGGTTTAATGCAATTGCTCTTTCTGCAGCATAGCCCGTCAGTCATGGAAACACCAAATACTATATTATTTGCAACAAAAGTTAAATTTCCGCTGCCATACACTAACTCAAAATTTTTGATATTTTTATTAACTTGACTGATTAAACTTTGTGAATTAAACTTCAATTTAAAAAAAATACTGATATTAAAGCCAAAGGTTTTGCTCTTCTTGTTGAACAGAAAAAGTAGTCTTCAACATCAAATACATGTTTTTGTGTTAACACAGGCAGAAACCTAATGTAATTTTGAGGTTCAGAAAAAAGATAAAGGAAAAATCCTAAGCACTGCTTCAACCTAAGTTATGATTCAGTTTCTTACATACCTGTCATAACACTCTGTTGGAAATTCTGACATCTATTAGATATTTCTTCCTCAATTCCCCTTTGGTTGTCACCAAAACAGTAAAGATTTAAGAGTTAACATCAGAACACCTAGTTTACCCTCAAAATATATTCACTTCTACTGAGTCTATAAGTCTATGTCTTTCATTATATGAATTCAAAAATGACCCATTAATATGTATTACTATATACAGATCTTAGAAACTAAGAAACTAAGAAATTCTTCTTTCCTAAAACATCAACATAATTGATTCATAATAATGTTGAATTAGCAACATTTTCATACTCTTTGCTAAAAACCTTTGTTGATACACATATATGTGTATATATACATATATATTTCTATTCACCTCATTCTTCATTTACCTTGTTAACTGCAGCTTTCTAGCTTTCAGGATTAGGATACCAACTTTATTTTTACATAAGTGACATCTTGTGGTGTTAAATGGTATAACTTTTTCTTTCATGTTCAAAATATGTCTGTTTTAAGTCTCAAGAAACAGGAAAGTTAACTGAAAAAATTCTAACAAACAGAAAAGTTTAACTGAGAAGCTAGAACAAATATTATTATTACCAGGAAAGTCACTTTTATTTTAGTACCAGAATAAACTAGCAACTATAATCAAAAGGAAAATTTTACCAGTTACATATAACAAGTTAGCAGGTGTTACATAACATAAATTGCCTACTTTTTTAAGTCTAAAATCCACAACTCATTAAAGCCTTCCACTCATTTTAAAGACTCATTTTAAATTAAGGGGAAAATGAAAATTATGTAGTGCTGTCACTCTAGCAATGCTACTCAAAGCACTACCTGAAAAAGTCTGGTATAAGAATCATTACGAGTCCACAAACATCTAGTACTAACGTACTAGAAGACATGTTCAGAAGTTAGCACATTTAGATACTTGAGAGTAATTTCACAATATAATTTTATATTTCTTGAATCTAATAAAAATCAGGGCTTGTATTTAATATGCTTTTTTCATTTTATTTTTCTAGTAATTTTTTATTGTATTTTATGGAAGTCTCTATTCATGACAGAATGAGATTTTAAAAAAAAAAAAAAAAAAAAGAAAAAGGGCTCTTCACCAGTTTGACAGCACTGGATTACACAATTACCTTTCAGGGGTCAGTGTTATTTATTATTTATTCATAATAAAATTCATTATTGTTGGGAGTACAATTTGGTGAATGGTAAGCAACATACAAAGTCATGTAATCACTACAAGAACCACAGTATGGAACATTTTCTTCCTCACAAGGCATAAATGATTCATTCATGCTGTTGCATCTATCAGTAACTTCTTCCTCTTTTATTTAGAATGAAGAGAAGCACACAAAGTGATTTCTTCCTTCACACCATTTTTTCCCTGAGGGCAGTTCTCAAATCACCATGTGGGAGAATAAAGCCCAAGAGGTCACAAATATAAGTGACTAAAGAGCAGATGTTGAAGTTCAGGACTACCACAGTGACTGGAACTTGAGGGCAAAATCACAGATACTGGAACTAACAAAAAGGTACACAAAAAAAAAATATGTCTACCGACTCCCTTCATGTATTTAGCAACATTTTCACAGGACAAGAAAAAAATCCAAAAGAAAACAGTAGCTGGGAGGTTACCTATGTGAACAGCAATGTCAACAACCACACACTGTCAGGAAGATGAGCCAGAATGCAAGTCTTTCCTAAGCAGAGAGGCCGTGGTAAACACCTTGGACTTTCAAAATTACAGAAGAGCCACATGAAATAAGAATATGAGAAAAATAAGCTGAGCACCAGTGGCTCACAACTATAATTCTAGCTACTTATGAGGCTAACATCAGGGCCAGTTCAAGCAAATAGTTCATGAGACCCCTTCTCCAAAATAACCACAGCAAAATGGACTTGGCAGCGTGGCTCAAGCAGTAGAGTACCTGTTTTGCAAGCACCTACTTTGCAAGCCCAAAGCACTGAGTTCAAACCCTAGTCTCACCAAAACAAAAAAAAGGGAAAAACTAAAATAAAAGACATTCAAAAGCCTACAACTGAATTTAAGCAGTATCAAAGCGATCTGCTGAAACTATTTGCCTGGGGGAGGAAACTCTCTGGAAAAAAATATCACCCAGAGCATCAATTTTTTGTCCTAAATACCCACCATCTAATCAAAACTTATGAGACAGGCAGAAACTATTTTGCCCTTATCTCTAATTTTGTTGAAGAGAGAGTATAAGCAATAATAGGAAGGACCAAGGGTTTTTGCTGGTTGAGATAAGGATAGCTATACAGGGAGCTGACTCGCATTGCTTTCCTGTACATGTGTGTTACCTTCTAAATTAACGCTTAAGGGAGGGGGCGGGGGATGGGGGGAGAAATTATCCAAACAGTGTATGCACATATGAATAAAAGAAAAAAAACTTATGAGACAAACTAAGAGGAGAAGAGAAAGAGGAGAAAGAAGAAGAGGAGGAAGAAGAAAAAGAAATGAAAAAAAGAAGAAAGCAAAGAAAGGGGAAAAACAAAAACAGACCCATGACTGATTCAGATATTAGTTATAAGATTTTAAAATAACTACAATTAATATTGTCAGAAAAATTCAGGAAAAGAGGAACAAAATAGATGAAACAATAGAGAATGTTAACAAGTAGACTCTATACAAAATAATCAAATAGATATCCAGAAGTAAAAATACACAGAATCTGAAATTAAGAACCCATTGGAGCAAGAGGGTAGAAGGGGGAGCATAGTTCAAGTGACAGAACACTTGCCTAGGAAGCATGAGGTCCTGAGATCAATCCCCAGTACCTCCAAACATAAAAAATAAAATAAAAACTGGATAGGATTAACAGCAGATTACAGATTAGAAATGGAAGAAGACAGGATTATGGAACTTGAAGACAGGTCAAGAGAAAATACACAAATTGAAGCACAGAAAAATAAAAGAATGGAAAACAGAGCAGAGCATCAGAGATATGAAAGATACAGTCAAAATATCTAACACACCTCTAACTAAAATCCCAATAAGGGAAGAGAAAAATAATGGGACAAAAACAGTATTTGAAGAGATTACAGTTAGTAATTCCAAACTGACAAAAGACATAAACTCACATATTTTTAAATCTTAGGAAAAAAACATAAAATTACACCAGGCAAAGCACAGTCAAAGTGCTGAAAACCAAAGACAATGAAAAAAAAATCTTAAGAGCAATGAGAAAGTAAAAACATTACCTTAAGACGGGGTGAGCAAACCTTTCTATCAAGTGCCAAGCAATGAATCTTTTAGGCTTTACCAGACTTACCACCTCCAATATAACTACTCATCTTTGCCACTGTAGCATGAAAGCAGCTATAGACTAAAAGGCAATTTTCTAATTCCTGCTTTACAGACCCAACAATAACACTGACAGCCAACTTTTCAAGAGACATTATTGAAACCAGAAGATAATGGAATAACATATTTAAAGGGTTGGAACAGAAAAAAAAAATGCCAACACAGAATTCTTAACCCATTGAAAATATCCTTCAAGGGCTGGTGCATAGCTCAAGTGATAGAGGACCTGCTTAGCCCGCAGGAGGCCTTGAGTTCAAACCCAAATATCAACAAAAAAGTTTTTTTTTTTTAATGTATCCTTCAAAATTAAAGATAAGATAAATCCATTTTAAAACAAATCAAAGTTGAAGATCTGTTGCCAAGATATCAAAGGATATCATTTCAAAAGGAAGTGAGAATTTTTAATTTATACATATACAAGCTATATGTGTTCTAACTTTATAATTCCCACTTGGAAAGCAAAAGCTTTCCAAAATCATAATTGGCAATTTTAACACAACTCTTAGTAACTAACAGAAAAAGCAGACAAAAAAAGGAACATCCAAGATGTACAAAATTTGAACAACACAATAAAACAGTTTAACTTGACGTACACAGAACACTATGCCATGCAACTACAGAATGAACATTCATGAATACACAGAACATTTACCAAAATACTATCTGCTGGATAAGAGATCAGCAAATTTGAAAGATCTAAATCCATATTATGTAAGTGAAATGTAATTAGAAACCAGTAACTAAAAATGTCCAAATATTATGAAATATAAGCAACGCACCTCAAATGACCTATGAGCCAAAGAACTCACAAGGGAAATAAGAAAATATTTGGAATTAACTAATGAAAACTACAGCATTTCACAACTTGTAGGATACTGCTAAAGAAGTACTTAGAAGTAAATTTAAAATTCCAGCTGCATTAAAAAGACTGAAAATCAATGATCTAAGTTTCAATCTCAAAAAGCTAGAAAACAGCAAATTGAACTCAAGCTACAAGTAAAAACTACAGATAAGAATTTAATAAAATGGAAAGCAAATTATAATAGAAAACAACTAAAGGTCAGCATCTATTTCAAATAGGTTGTAATAAAGCACTTATCATCAAGACTAGCACATTTATTTCCTCAACATCAGTTTGTTCCAGGAACAGTTCTAACTACTAGGGTCCCTGACTTCTTTAAACTTACATTCAGTGAATGAATTGGAGGTAGGGAAATAAGGGGAATGACAGAACAAAAAAGGAAGAGGGAAGGAGGGAGGAAGGGAAGCCTAAGGAAAGATCAAATAAGAAATCAGCAAAGAATTAAAATAGAGAATGCGATAAAGCAATCCTAGGTGATTACAAGACTTCCTCACCCTTAAAAGTTTTAAAGGAGCCACCAATGTAGTTGAGTTTATATATGCTGAGGCAAAAAAAATATTCATTTGGAACAGAACGAATATTCCTTTTCACTATTTTATAGCACTCTAAAGCAAAAATATCACTTTATATAGAAGATTAAAAGACTGGAAAAAACTCAAAACAATAAGAGGAAATTCAGCAAATATACACAAAGATTTTTTTTAATTTTGCTCACAAAAAAATGCTATAAATGAAGTCAAAAACAAATAAAAATTACTTTGGTACTCAATCCTTAAAATACAAAGAGTCCTGAGAGCTGATCCATAGGGAAGTGAGCACAGCACATTTTTTAAAAAGTATTTCACTGAAAAAATAAACCAATAACCATAAAGATGACTTAAACATATTCATAA